TACTATAAGATAAAAATTAGCTATCAGTGAAAAGATTAAAAAAATGACAAAAGAAAACAAAACTGGGGAAGAACGTAAAATGGAACAAGGAATAAGGCTAATGAAAACCATGTGTTCTGAAACCCAAAACCTGTGGCAAGTGGGCCACAGGCATACTTATTTCAGATTTTCTAATAGATGAAACAAAAAGCAAATCTGATCAACACAATGGTCCATAAGATTTAAAAAGCACCAAGAAACTCAAAATGCCATCCAACCATTGAATTCTTCAGATGAAGCTGTAAATTTCTAAGATTAATAATACATTTATCTGCAGAACGTCTGGCAGAAACTCTGTATAATGGGCTGGACTTTGCAGCAGCCTCTTCCAGTGGCCCTGGCAGTCTTTTCTTCTTAGAGGTCACCCCCAACACAGTTGAGCGGAAGCCTTGGTGAGGCCAGTGTGACCAGGTGCAGGTGCAGAGTCCTCTGCTAGCCTGAGAGAGATCTTAACTATGCTCCCTGCGGTGGATAGAGGATATGGAAAGAAATGAAGCAGCTGCATACTTTTGGTCAATTTTTTCACATTTTTCCCCCTCAGTCAGACTTCTGATAGCTGGTGACAGATGGTACTTCCTAGAATGTCTGAGATACAATTACTGTATTTTACCACTCAATTAGAGATCCATTGGCCTTGATGGACACTTGAGCTGGGGCAGTGCCAAGAGCTTCTTAGGAAGTGAGGAACCCAGTCTAAGATTTATCCCCACGTGTGTGCACGTCCCATCTCCCCTCACTGATGTGTCAGGGGAACCCCAGTGGGAAGGGCAGCAGTCCCTCTGAGAGTGATGTAGCTTCTGCTTCACTATACAGACTAATGGGCAATGACAGTTTCTGGCGTATAGCACTGTCAGAAAAACGTTCACCTGAAACAGCGTAAGGTGATGACTAAAGCCTCATCATGGCTAGAAAAATCTCCATGAAGCCTCTTAGAATGCCTAACTTTGAGCATTATTACTTTCTAGTGAACCCTCTAAAATAAGCTATTTGTGGATTATAGCTCTGAGTTGTTTTGAGGATTATTATTTGTAACTCAGGTAAAAGATGGGGAAATATCGGCCAAAAGTAACTTTTTTTCTTTTTTGAGGTAGCAGGCCCGTGATCTATGTATGCCACTTTTAGTTGTGATTTTAAATCTTCTGACCTGCCTATGGTAGAAAGCTGGTACTTGTTTTCTTTAATAGGAAGAAATGACCCAGTTCAACAAAAGTTAAAACAGACCTTGAGAATGTAAGGGGGTGGAATAGGGGCATGGGACACATACTCCTGTTTTCGCTGAGATAGAAAACTATGATTTGATTTGTTACAAGACAGTTCTTATTGATCTTGCTGTCACTGAGCAAGGGCTCACTAACCGACAAGCATAAAAGCCAATCCTATGGCACCAGCTTTTGAGAAAGGAAAGGGCTTTATTGTGAGGTCGACTCGCAAGGAGACAGGAGACAAAGCTCTCACATCTGTCTCCTCGATGCAGGGTTTGGGGTGCAATTTAAGGGATTAGGGAAGGCAGGCTGGTATGTGGAAGCCCTGGCAAGACAGGCTTTGATTGAAAGAATACAAATGACTGTCGATGGTGAGTTGTGTAAAGGGCTTTGACACCAGATCTTCCTATGAAATGGACCCCATAATTCTGAAAAGGATCTGTCTTTCAAGTTCTGGTCACATCGCAGTCCTTTTGGTTCCACGGTGGGGAGACTCTGGTTCCAGGCGTTAATTTTCTCCTCTGGGCGTGCTCTGGCTACGTGACTTGAAGTTTTGGCTCGTTGCCCCAGCAAGACAACATTAACATTCTATTTCTAACAAGATGGGCTCAGTTTAAACTGGTCCTGTGGTTACATTGACCTTGTACTTCCTTAATACTCATTGGGTGTCTGTTATGTATATAGATTATGTAATGTCTTGGGGAAAACAGGGGATATAGGATATGGTGCCTGGTAGCAAGGAGCTATACCTCTGCTTGGAAAGTAACAGCTACATTTCTGAAATGTTAAACGGAAATACAGCAGAGAAAGAGACATTCTGGTTGGTTCAGGAAATGCCACAGGGCAGTTATTACTTGAATGCAAAACTTAGTGACAGTCAGTAAAAATGCCAAGAAAACTGGAGACTCAAGTTTGTTCAACTAGCTTCTCACCATAAAGCAAAGACTCAGTGTTGGTTCTGGAGAGATCTTGATGTGGATGATTTTGAATTCCTCTGAAAAGGATTTTTAAAATATAGGAAATAATGTGTGATTATTCCAATCAAATGTAGATTTAAAAATGTTACTTTTGACTAACAGTGTAGTTTTCTTGGCTCTCCCCTCATAGTGTTTGCTCCTGCCTCATGCCATCCCTACAAACAGGACCCGGGGGGGTGTTCCTCCTGATTTCCTAGTGGGAACACCGAGGCCTCACAAAGTTAGGAGATCTGTCTGGGCTACAGCACTGGTGATATCCTAGGAGTTTTGTCTACTCTGTATTTTTGTTTATTTTGTGTCATTGCCAGTAGGTTTAGATAGAATAGATAACTTGATATCTTTGTTTTCCAAATTGTACCCACAATGTACCCTTTTGGTACCTTGTTAAGCAAATGAGGGAGATGAGATTACCAGCTACAGTACCACTCATATTGACGAGCCATCTCTTTTATTTCTTTTTCCCTGACAAATGTGTTAATTCAATAGACATTAGTGGCTGTTCTGCAGTCCTCATGATGTTGTCAAGAGTGGGGGGATTAACAGGACCTGTGTGCACACTTCTCGAGTTGAAGGAGCTTCAGTGCATTTGAGGGAAGCGGAGATACGCTCAGGAAAGTGCTAAGTCACCATTCCAGACAGCACACCAGAATCGTCAAAACGAGGGTGGCGGGTGTGCTGGTTCCGGAGTGGTCCAGGTGAGCTGGGGCTTCAACTAGACTCTAGTGATTGACGGATTCTGTGAGTGGAGGACAAGGGAGGGCCTCTGGTGGAGTGGAGCTGACTCAGGAACGGTGGAGAGATGAACCTGGGAGGTGGGTGGGAGGCACGTAGAAAAATTTAAGTGGTAGTCGGGTTGAAGAGTTGGCACCTGTAGACGTTAACGAGCCATGAAAGGAACTGCGTTATGCTTATTTTCTGCAAGTGGAACCGTGTTTTGAGCACGTCACAGCACTGTAATGTATGACAGTCCTGGGCTGAGGCTGGAAGCCTGGAGGACAAACCGAACTTTTTGTCTGTTTGTTTGTGTGGCATTGTCTAGAGTGCTTTAGCATACTTTGTATTGGGGGGAGTGTGGAATCCTCGTGAAACTGTTTATCCTCTGGCTATTGGTGCTACCTCTTTTATATGGAGCAAATGAAGTCCAAGGCTGAGTGGGTTTGTTATTAGGATGATGAAGCTCTCTAGGCAAGAATCCCTTTGTCAGGGAGTGTGCAGCGTGTTGCTCGGGTAGATACTTGGCTCTACCTTCCACGAAAGGTGGAAGGTGATGCGGACATGCGGGGAGCAGGATCCTGTGCCTAATGGTTTGCAATAGCCAGGAGATGTCTTTCTAAACCAGCGGCTGTCCGGGCATCATGCCCATCCTCCCTTGCCTGAGTCTTACTCTGTTCTTCTAAAGATGAGGACATTCTCTCATGTTTTGGTCAATCCACGTGTATGGAATCCCTTCAGTTTCACCCCTGAGAGCTCGTTTCTAACTTCATGTTAATTAAACAAACCGCTCATTTCACCACTGAAAAGCTGTTTCTGATATTCAGTAAGCTAAGTGGCAGAGCCTCTGGTGTTGATCAAGATATGAATAGTTGAGAGAGGCATGAATAGCAGAAGTGCTTGGCCAGGTGTGAAATGTGACACTTTCTGGTACAGTTCTAGCTGACCCCAGGAATCTGAATTCTCAGTTCTGGCCAATGACTGTCCCTAAGGGTCAAGCTTGACTAACTGATCTATCTGTTGTAACTTACTGTTGATGCTGAGGAATATTTTATGAACTTCTTAAATTAATTCGTTAAACAAATTACAGAAATAGCAACCCTTGTTCATCAGTTCAGTTTATAGTTCCAGCACAGTGATTATAGGATGCTTTTGTTTTTAATTTGCTCTTTACCTCTACTATACTGTTATCCTCTTTATGATGATTTGATCTCTTTATGATGATCAAAGGTTTAGGGAAATATCCCTATAAATAAGGAAAATGCCATGAAGAGAACCCAGGACATGTGTATCTTGAGTGCATGCGTCCTAAACTGGTGGTGGTGGTCTGAAATCCTAATGAGCAGTTGGCAAGGTGTTTATCGGCCTCCACGCGACTCTGTGAGATTTCCAGTTTACCCCCTGGCACCGGGTGTAGGTATGAGCCGCCTTCTCATTCGGTCCAGATTCTGTTGGGCTGCAGCTGGGAAGAGCTTCCTTTGCCAGAAGATTCCCATCCAGTTCTTTTATTCTTGGCAGGTTCATTTACTTTTTCATGGTTTTTCTCCTAAACCAATTCCCAACCTGGACCCAGATAAGTCGGTTTCCTGGGCCTTTTGTTATTGAAGGCAAGGAAGCTATTATTGTCCTGTGGTGCCCGGGACAGCCCGTCCTTTGCCTTTGCCACAAGTGTTTAAACAGATCTTAAAGGGACATCAAATTCAAATGTATTAAAGATGCTAGTTCAGGGAGATCCTGAGTGGATGTCTGGATTTTCTGATCTTATAGTCCCTGCAGGCCCTCATGGCATCTCTACCTCCAAAGAAAGACTGAGATTTTACTATAGAAAGGAAGTTGAGACGAGTATGCTTATGAGAATGAAATGACTGTGTGAAAGAATGTTGATGTTAGGAATCTGCTTTGAATAGTATAAATGCTGTTTTAACATTTTATATATGTATGCGTATAATGTACACACACCCACCCATGTATATTTATAATAGAAATGATATTGCAATATATCAAGATGATTTCAGTTTTTTCATTATTGAATTAAAATAGCTTTAAAAAAATGTTTTATTTTTGAATATAGCAAGATCAACTTTACACCTGGGCTGCAGTTAGTCAGCCCACACACTCACTGGATTGCACAGAAGGGCAGTTTCCCAGGCGAGTCCCGTCTGTCTGGCCGCCGTCTGGACCTCCTGATGAAGAACACGGGCCCACGGCTGCTCACGCAGGTAGGACCGGGCGCGGGGCGCGTTCTGAGTGCGTGTGACATGAAGCGTCTGTGCAGTGCAGACTGGGCCGTGAGTCTGTGCTTCTCCTCGAGGTCTGTCTTCGATTATAGTCAGCAGATAACTCAAGGAAAGTCACTGGGGGGCCTTGTTAAATGGGAAGTTGTTACTTCCCACCTTAAGGCTGCTGAGTTAGAATTCCGGCGAGTAGGACGCTGGCGTTGTTCGGTCATTGTTGTGTAGACGGAGTGTGAGAAGCACTGTTCTTGGAGTCCCGATGCAGCCACTACCCAGGGTCGAAGCTCTGTGTCCGGAGGAGCCAGGAGGCCCCGAGGGAGCTTTTTGTCTGTCACCTGCGGAGGGGCGGCGACATCACCTCTTCCCTCTGGCTCTCCTCCCTCACCACCTTCTTCCTGCCTTTCTTAGTCCTTTTCTTCATCTTCAGAGAGAACTGGGAGAGGCAAGACGGAGATATCGGTTTTACTAAATCTGAATTTTAAGTAATCTTTCAAAAATTGCACAGTGTTCAGATGTAATATTTATTTTTCTTTAAAATTTTTCTCTTAGGTTGTTTTTTCTCTTGGTACCTTTTGTTGTCTTAAAGTTTTTTGAGTTACTGGCTGGGAAGGTAGCGTGAGATTAACATCAGCTTTTATATGGAGCCCAATACCAGGAAAGCACTTGTCATTCGGAATTAAGAATTTTGATCCCACCACCCCCAATGGCTTATAGAGAAAAAGGTAGTCATTAGACACTTAATTTGGACTTGTAGTAAACGAGCATAGGATGAGAGCATGGAGCTTGGGCTCGGCCATTTCCCAGCTTTGTAACCTGGGAATTTTTCTCACGACTGTGCTCAGTCTCTCCACCTGTGAAACAGTGAGAAGAGAAACATTTACTGCATAGCCATTTTGAGAGCTGCACGAGTTAATGTAGGTTAAAGCACAGAATCAGCTTTTAGAATGCAGTGCCTGGTTCAGCAGAAGTGTTTGCTGCTGTTCTTATAATTATTGTCATTATTTCGTGTCCTTATCTTCCTGATGAATTCCCTGTAAAAACCAACAGTGACCCATAGTGTCAACAGTTTTATTCGAGGCCCCTGCACAGAGGTCTGCAAAGGCAGCCAGTGCTCGCCACCTCCTGTTTGATCCCTGTCTCTGGAGAGACGCGTTTGCCTCTTTCTTCCGTGCACTGAGGCAGTGAAGGGGGGCCCACACCAATTCTGCGTGCCCCCCTTTTAATGTTCAGTGCTTCTGAAACACTGCTTAGTGTTTACTTGGTGGCCTATACTCCCTGAAATGAACATCACCGGGAAGATAGGCTGTAGGAAACTGTTCCATGTGGGGCTCTGAGTTTATCATAACACAGAGTACAGTTGATTGAGGGTCAACGTAGAGTTCCTTAATGCAAAGCTCTTCAGAGATGAGGGAGTTCTAATGTGATAACACCTGAAAATAAAGCAAGCACATAAAAGCATAGTGTAGTTTTAAAAGGAAAAGCGTACAACTAAAAGAATCGATCCCATTAAATACACCCTTCTACTTGTTTATGTTAAAAGTTACTTCCTGGTAGGAAATAGCCAGATGTAGAGATAGTAGAATTGATCAATTTCATGGAGAGCTCTTTTAACAGTTGTTCATATCTTATGTTTTACATCATTGTTTGGGGTGACATTTTCATTTTTTTCTTCCCTTGTGTGTTTATCATTCTCAACTTTTCTAACTGAAATATTTCTATTATTCTCTCAAATTTTAGAGCACTTAAAGTTATGAAACATTTTATGCTATTGATTTTGTATATTGGAGGAGCACTAGATTGAAAGTTAATTAGTGCTAATTAGAGTTTTAGTTTGGTAAAAGACGACAGTTGGAGTTAATGCTGGGAAGGTTGTCACCTAGCTTTTTTCTCATTATTTGATGTAGCTTGCAAGATGCCAGAGCAAGTAATTTTTAATATAATAACTTGTCTTCTTTTAAAATATGCATTCTTGAAGAGGATGATGGAGGTAAGTAGAAAATAATTTAATACAGTGACTTGTTTTTCTCCAATTGATCTGTTATAAACCCAACAGCCATGTAGCATTTGCTTGTCCAGCGATCTAATGGCACTTTCTGAATTTTTCCTGCTGTGGCTCCATGGGGCATTCTCGTTCTGGGGGCCAGAGTCCCCTGACCCTCCGAGTCAAGCTTTCAGTTGTAAGAGTGAGAATGTTAATAATACAGTGAAAACTTTGCATAGAGTCTACTGTTTTTTTTAAAAAATATGTATCAATTGCAAACTTTGATAACATAATTGTTAATAGTAATAAACTATTTGCAGTGCACTTAACAACTGATTGCCTCACATTATTGTCTGGTCACATCATGGTTAAAACCACTATTTGCAACATGTGGCCCCTTTCGATTTTCATGTAAAGTAAAAGAGTTCAATGACTTTTTTCTTTTTGAAGAAAACTGACTTGCAGTTCCATCTTAGGAAATGGAGAACTTATTTTTTTGCGCCTTTTTTTTGGTCTTCTGGCTCTTCTTTGTATTGCTTATTAATTTACATGTCCAGCTACTTCCGATCCATGGTGCTGCCTCTTCTGCCTGTCTCATGATCTCACTTTAATTTTTCCATAATCCCTTCTGTGAAAGAGGTTTTTCTCCACCTTCATATAGTGTTGAAGGAACCAGCCCTCCTTTATGTGAACTTGAAGTGAGGAGGCCAAAGTGCAGCCTCGATGCCTCCCCCCAGAGAGCTGCCAGGGGGCGGCAGAGTCCTGTGAGGCTTTGCTCCCTTCCTGGTTCCCTGCATGGTTGCCATTGTCTCTGGAGAGGAGCCTAGGGTGTTATAGTCGACATTTTGAAGTCTATGGAAGCCTCCTGAAGGCTAAAGCTGGCTGGAAAGGAAATCAGAAAGCAACGTGCTCCAAAAGTTGGTGGCAGAAACATTAAGAAGAAAACCTTTCCATTTGTCTTGTTTCCTCTTCATTTTCTCTCTCATTTTCCTTTACTTACAGGGTACCAGGCTGCAAACCCTCCCCACCCCCATGGCGGTTCTTTTTTCTGGAGTCCCATGGCGGTTCTTTTTTCTGGAGTCCCATGGCATTTTATTCATATCTCTATCGTTTGAGTTATTTCTGTGTTGTCATTTATCTCTTTATACATATCTGTTTTACAGACTCCTAACATGTCAAGACCTTTGGGCACATAGTATATACTTAAATATTTGAGTGAATAAATGAAAATCTTTTGTTGAATGAGATCTAAATAAGTAAAATATCTACTTAGCACGTGAATGCAAGCATTGGAGGGAGAGTTTTGTGTGTGTGCTGATCATTTTAGCCCGTGGGTCATTTTAGGGACTCAGTACCAAGTTTCAAAGGTTATTCAATAGATTTACACAAGATCAAAGAGATAATTAACTTCAGTTTTCAAATTCATGAGAAAGTGCAGGATGTCTAGATGTGAGTTGGGACTTGATCATTCTTGCGGCATCTTTGGAAAATCATGTCCCTTATCTTTCTCTGAAAGCGTCAGTGGCCAAGAGAGCGAATGGACAACTGACTTTTAGAAAGGCAATTTAGGCACAGAAAGTCCTGGAGGGAAATATATGGAAGGAGAGCTGGTAGAAACATGGCAAAAACTTTTTGTGGAGAAATCTTAAAAATTGGGTTCACATGCTGGCTGATAGAATTGTAACCCACTTTTGCCCCAGAAAAGATTTGAGCAGCTTATAAATAGCTAGGTGTACAAACGGATTACAAAGGAAAATAGATCAAACTGAAAGGAATTTAGGATGGAACAATGAAATGAAGCTGAGGCAAGCCAGCATGTTGAAATGTGTTTCAGAAGGACCTGCAGTTTTTAAAGGTAGTTGGAAATTTATCCCTCAGGTTTAAAGTAGAAAGGGAAATGGGAACAATTCTCTATCATCCCGTGTCCAGGAGATTTAAAGCAACAGTCTCTCAGAGAAGCACAACTTTTCTGGCCTCTAATATTCAAAAGAAGTTTCTAATGGTTCCTAATAAAAGAGATTCTTTGTGATGCAATGCAAGTACAGCATCATCAGATCATTTCCAGGTTTAGTCCAAACGCTTTGGGGTGCGTTCGGTTGAGGTAACGCAGACAGTCTGCAAGGGGCCACAGGAGAATTGACAGCGTTCTCTCTCTCAGTTTCTTGCTTGATCAAGGGACAAAATGTTCTAGAACAGATTGACTGTGTCTCCTGTAGGTCATGCTCCATCTTCAACATTTTTTTTGTAAAATCAGGCTGCATTTCCCCTTGCATATGCAAGCTAAAGCCTGTGTGTCGACGTCCTTTGTTGGCAGCGAGGGGCAGATCCATACTATTAAATAATCAGATAAGCCCTTTTCAGGAAAATGACTTATTTAACCCCATCATCATTTGTGGAAGGACTACCAGAATTAAAATACCAGAATTAAAAACATCCACCACTTATTAGGCGAGTAATTCTAAGTCTTGCTATTTCAATGAAGTTTAATGAATTCTCTTACTATTAAATTGACTAGATTTGAATCAACTTGATGTATACCAAAAGAAGCTGTAATTTACTAATTTTATGTAAGTGCATTTTTATTTAAAATGTAAAACTCTGTAGAGATGACTTCATTTGCAGAGGCAGACTCTGTATATTTTAAAGGGTGCTGTGATTTATTTTCCTTCAGAGCAGAGAGGCACATCCTACTCATGGTCTTGCTGCCCTCTCTCTAGGAAGGTCAAACTCGTCCCCGTCCGTTCCGTTTTATAAGTTAGAAGCTTATTCTGCAATGATGAGGAGATCATTTCTGAAACATATTTGGAATTGTGGGGAGCCCAGAATTTCAGATCATTTGCAGAATTTTATGAGGTGGCTTAAAAAAAAAGGAACATCTAAGGTTTTGTTGGGAATGTTCTCTCTCTCCCTTCGCGCCACAGTAATGTTTTTGACGGCAAGTCTAGTTTCTGAGTTCTTCAGAGGGGTGAGTGAGGGAGTTGGCAGGTCTAAATGTGCCCTCCAGGGAGCTCTCACTGGGTCACTCTTTCAAAACAGCCTTCCTAGTTGCTGAATATTTAGTGGGGATCCTGTCAGTTCCAGAGCTGAGAGAAGCAGTTCCCGAAAGCGCCCTGGATCTTGGGAGAGGAGAGTGTTGGTAACAAGTGCCATCGGGGTTTCAACGAGGCACGGTCATTCTCAGGACGTTAGAACTGAGCAGGTTTCTCGGATTTCTCGAGTGCCTGCCCGGTGACTCTGGACCTGAGCCCTTGCTCAGGAGCCAGCTGACGACTTATTTGCCCTGAGCGTGCCAGCTCTTTTCCACTCACGCTCCTTTTTGCCATTTCTCATGCTTCTCCTTACTCTTTCTCTTTCCTATACCTTTCCTTCTTCTTCTTCTCTTTCTTACTTTATTCTCTATTATTTTCTTTCACATCTATTTTCTTTCTTCTCTTACTGTTCTCTTCATTCTCCCTTAATTTTGTAGTACGGTTACTCTGTACATCACTTTCATCTTAAAATCTTGACCCTCTTCAACTCTTAAACTTCAGCTTAATGATTTTGAAGAGAGTATTTCGATAAATTTCTCTTAGATGTTGTAACACACTGATTCAAGGAAATAAAAAGTGTCATGAAAGGGATGGGGATGGAGAATGAACTGAGTTCGGGTAGCTGTGGAGTTAGAGAGGGAGATGAGAGCCTCGCTGTGGGTGTTCAACATACTGGCTGATGCGTCTTTGTAGCTCATTGTTGGGGTAAACCGCACGCAGCCTTGTTTACCCTCAGAGCCCAGAGGTCTGCTTCTCTGGGCAGGTCACCAGGTCTGAGCCTATAGAAAAAGAGCCAGGAAGCACTGAGTGCATTTCTAATGTAGAGAACTTTTAGTGGTCCACAGGAGACGCTCTGGGCTCTTCCCACACTGTCTAAATAGAAAGAAGAGGAAGCGAAGCTTTTCAGCATCTGCACAAAGCCAGGACCGTATCTTGAGTCGGTGGAGTTTGGGAGGATGTGGAAGTGACTGAAAGCAAAAGTGTCCCGGAGTTCAGATTTGCTTTAACGTGAACTCTTGGCTGGCTTTCATGTTAAAGGTCTTTATTCAAAATGGCTGACTCTAGCGCTAAGTTCAGAGTGGAGATTTATCAGTATAGGAAGCATCCGCTTTTCACTAACTTATTGAAATATAGTATTTGTCGGGGAAAATGGTTGTATTTGAAGGCTACTTGTTAATGTTCTGTTGCCACAGTGACATTTGTGGCATGAAGTGACTGCTTCCTGCTATTCTCAATAATTTTTGTTTTGAAAGACACACCCCGAGCTGCGGTGCAGGAAGCGGTGAAGGCACAGCAGTGTCCGTGTTGCCTGCTGTGAAGCCCGTCCTCCCGCTTGGCCTGCTCAGGATGCTCACTCTTTGTGGTGGCGTCCTCGCTCATGGTGTGACCATTCTTGTGCTCACTCCTTTCATTCCCTCCTACAATTACTCAACCACTTTGTGCCAGGCAGGCACTGTTCTAGAAGCTGGGGATACAATAAGGGGAAAAAAAATCTATAAAATGTCTCTCCTCACAGGGTTTGTTTTTGTCAGGTGAGAGAGAGAACAGATAAGTAGGCAGATAAGTGCGTCTAGTCTATCGTGTGATGATCCGTGTCACGAAGAGGGTGAGTGACAGGCAGTGGGGAAAGCTAGGGAGTGGGTGCGCCGCTCCTTTAACTAGGGAGCCCAGGGAGCTGGAGCAAGGCCCGGAGGGAGGGACAAGGCAGGAGATCATGCAGATACCCCAGGGCTGCAGGGACAGCTGGAGGGAGCGTGACTGGGATGTGGTGGGCAGCAAGAAGCCATGCGGCTGGAGCACAGTGAGCCAGAGGGGAAAGGCGGAGGAGCTTCGAGAGGTCAGGGAGGGTGGGCAGACGAAAGAAGGCCCCTGGGCCCATCGAGACTGTGCTTTAGTCTAAGTGAGAGGAAAACTTTCAATGTCATTAACAATATGTTACACAATTTAAGTAATAAATACCTTTTGTTTTTCGATAGCCTTGTCACACACATCAACTAAAATGCTGCTAAATCAGGAATGTCTCACTTGTCCCCGGGAGTGACAGCTGTATCTTTTCAGGTGTCTGGTCTGCACGCCAGTCAGGGGCGGGAGCCATGTGACAGTCGGGAGACAAACTCTAGTCTTCAGGTTGCCACCAACTGCTTGTGTTATGGGCCTTGGGTTTCTCATCTGTCAATGTGGAAGATAGACAAGATGAAGGGTTTTCAGACTCCAACCCGTGGAGCCCTGGGGATTCCTGGTGCCTTTTTATTTTTATTCTTACATTTTTAAGTTTCTGTGCAGGCTTCACTTAGAAGAAAGTGTCCCCAGCTTACAAAAAGAGTCCTGCACTTGGTTATCCCTTAGATTTTTCCAGCATGAAGAATTTTCGGGCTCACAGACTCCCAAAGGACAGACTAAAGGAGCAGCTTCCCCTGTTACTCACTGCCTCTTGGTGACAGTGCTTCAGTGTCTCTCACTGAATTCAGAAGGTAATTTGTCAATAGTTAGGTAAGGCATTTGAGGTCCCAGCCTTCAAGATGGCTGAGTTGGCATCTGTCACTGTACCAACTTACGCTAAGTGAATAGTATAAAAGGTGACTGTCTTAGCAGGTACTTCCTGCTAATTCAAAATAGAAACTAGCAATTGAAAAAAATAACCAGGATTGATGTGTCTCAAGGGCATACGGCTATTCTAATTTCAAAACTAATTAATGACATGAGTGTTAGTCATTATATGTGTTAGATGTATTGAAAAGCAGTCATGTCCTCAATACAGAAGTGTAATCTGAAGATAAACGGAATGTTTTTGGTACTTATGGTTAAAGATGTACTTTACTTAGTTTTGTTTTCTGATTGAGGAAATGGGAAAATTTGTTCTTTAATTTTGCCTATCTTCTTCCTTTCCAACCCAGAATCTCAATCTGCTGTTTTGGAGACTCCAAGAAAAAGTTCAGATGCCGTTCAACAGGTGAGATGTTCTTACTAGGACGTCGAATCCTTTTTTCTCTTGTTTGTTGTAGAATTGTGACAGACTCGGGTCTGTCTTCCCGGCTGCCCCGCTGGCTGGGCCGTCTGGTTCTCTCAGCCTGCCGGGCATCCAGTCAGGCAGAAGTGAATGCTTTCTTCCCTTGAGACTTTGCAGAGAAAATCAGCCTTGAAGTGGAACTGAGTACATGCTTTTCAGAAGCTGCATCATTCGCTATGCAGCCAGCATGGGCCTGACAACAGCTGGCTCCAGCAGAAAACAGTGACCTCTCCGGGAGATGACGCGCAGAGATGTGCCTGGCCGAACCAGAGTCACGTGGATACGATTGTTAAGAAAATCTGTCAGAGTTTTTCTAAAATCAAATAATATTCTTAAGTTGCTTTAGTGGATGAAACATTAGTTGGTGTCTTTTTAATTTCCACAGAAACTTTTTTTTGTTACTAAAGCCAAATTTCATGTTTTTTTTCTTGTAACAAAATGGACTTACTCTTGAAAAAAAGACCCTGCAAGAAAGGAAGAACTTATATGAAATAGTAATTGTGGATAGCTCTTGCTCTGTTTTAGTATAAAACCCATTGTTTATTTTATTTATACTTTCTCCCAACTGTGCTTTTGAAAGTAACGGAGCATTATAATTTATCGGTAAGGAGTGTGTGTTCCCCTGAGCATGGCCCAGTAGAAATGGGGTGACTCTGACCTGGCTTCTAGGTCTGTTTCAGGTGAGTGTGTGACAACCCACAGAGGCTATCTGTGACACAGTGTTCTTTTTGTAAAATTCAAAAATCTGGTGATTTTTGAGAACTTTTCCAAGTATAAAATGACATCCTTTTAAGAAAGAAGTGGAAGGATCCTTCTCAAAATTGAAAATTATCAAAAATTATTTGTTACTTTTCACTTGCCAAGAACAATGGATGTTTCTTCAGTTGTATTGATTGAAAGTCCTAAAAGTATAAATTTGGCGACCTAATAAATGAATTTTCAGAAAAATGAGCCAGGAAAATATCTTAAGATCAATCAAGATATCACATTAAGAAAGTAGTAGTATTATTTATTACATTATATAAAATTAGGACACTATAGTTTTATCTTCTTGAAGTTTATAAGCTCATGTTGTTACTCATACATCATTTTTATCCCTATTATGTTTTACAAGTAATAAATATATTTTTAAAGGAAAGAAAAAAAAAAAGCAGCAGCCCTGCATCATACAGGCAAGCCGTGCGCCCCCTGGAGGAGAAGTAAGGATGCAGCATTGGCTGAGAACTTCATTTTTTTAAAAATTAATTAATTAATTAAATTTTATTTTTTTTTGGTGATGACGATTGGCCCTGAGCTAACATCTGTTGCCAATCTTCCTCTTTTTTTGCTTGAGGGAGATTGCCGCTCAGCTAACATCTGTACCAGTCTTCCTCTATTTTGTACGTGGGATGCTGCCACAGCATGGCGTGATGAGTGGTGTGTAGGTTCACACCAGGGATCCAAACCCAGGAACCCCCGTGCCACTGAAGTGGAGCCTGCAACTTAATCACTATGCTGCCGGGCCGGCCCTGAGAACTTCATTTTATAATACACTGGTGCCTTTCAAAAATACAGCTGGATTGGCCATTATCGTAAGAGTAAAGATCCTCGCAGTGTCCTAAAGCAAGTTCTCCAGCCTCTGTGTCAGAGCAGAGATCGACGTCAGGCTGGGGCGCTCAGAGAGGCACGGTGCGCTCAGCTGAGCGTTGTTTAATGATTGTGCAATGATTAGGCAATAGTGAATACGGTGGAGAAAGATTAAAAAGAGGTAAAGAGAAATAAAGTCAGAAATAAATAAGAAAATAGTGCCCTCAAAATATCCTCTCATTATTTTTGAAACTTTTGTTTTTTGAGGCATGAGTAAGTTGTGATCTAAGATAATGTGTTAGATTTTTCTAAATCTATATCTCCAGGGCATATATTACCAAGTTCTTTGTTATATATGATGATGGCAAAGAAACATTGGACAAAAAGTATTCTATCAACAGTGACAAGGCGTGCGTAACATTGCTCTATACATTAGGATTCCAGCTGTAATAAGTCAAGATCTATATTCATGTGTGTAAAATTATAGTGACTATTTTTCCTGGACTGTGAACCATGGAAAAATATATTGTAATAAGCAGAAAACCTGATGAACTAGATGATTTAAAAACACCGATGTTACAGCTTGGAAACTCAAGGGTGAAATAGCTCAGTTTAAATTTCACACCTTCTCCTTTCCTTGTTGCCAGTGAAGTGTGTAGAAGCCAGAAAATACAATGAATTAAATTGGGGTAACAATATTTGGGAGCAGTTGAGGTTAAGCAGTCAACAATGACATCCCTTACGTTTTGAGCCATTGACTGTTTGTCATAAGTTTATTTTCTGGATTGGTTCTTTTCTTAGATGATTTGTGTCTGTTTCCTAAAAGAGATATAGGAAATGAGAATTAACTATCAATCTATTGTGACTTGTTCCTTTGCTGTATTACCTTATGCAATTCTTACAATAATCTTTTTAAGTAACTAGTATAATTTATGTTTAACTGATAAAGGGAATGTTTATAGGCGTTATCTTACTTAAGGTCACAGAATTGATCAAGGTTAGAAGCCAAGATCTGAACATCGGTCTGTTGGGTTTGACACCTCGTGTTCTCTCCGCTGTGATAAAAATGATGCTTCGACAGGAGTAATCGCCCTCTGGCTGTTTAATACCAGCTCTTGTCAACATCATCAGGTGGATGAGATGAGAAGTTTATTTCCAAAGTTATTCTATTACATTTAAACTATACTGTTTATAAGAGTCAAATGTCAAGACATGTTTTAAAGGCTTAGAGAGAGATGATTAATTCACCCACACATTTTTAAGTTTTACTATAACTTTGGTGTGCTACATTGTGTCAGTTTTACTAACTTTAGCACTTCACTATTTAAAAAAAAAACCTATTTCATTTTTCATGTAAAGCACTTTGCTGTTCTCTTGTTCGTCACTAGATGGCAGCTCTGTATCTCTGTAAAGTGCCACTGCAGCAGGAAATGAGAGGTCTTAAGCCGGCTTGCTCTGTATGAATGATGGACATAGGAGGTTTTCTGGTCTGTCGAGGCTGCCTGCGTTATTCTGTGGCTGGAACGGGCATGTCCAGGACTCCTTAGGCAGAGGCACGCAGCAGGGTCGGAAAGCATCCGCTAAGTTTTTCTTCAGATGTGAGTTCAGGCACCTGTTCTCTCCATCTGAGCACCCTGGAATTTATTGAATGAGTTTCGACTTTTACTCTCTCCCTGTAGTTAATAATTCTGAGAGCTCCATAGCCCTAGAAAAAACACATGACGCACAGAGCCTTTTCTCAACTCAAAGGAGTTGGAAGGCCATGGTGTTGCCAGAGAGTCTGATGCTTAAAGCAAATACAGCTGGTGCTCATGTGGAAAGAAAGAGCTATAGCTGCTCCTGGAGTGCTATTATTGACGGTCCTATGGAATGAGGAAGTTTAAAATACAACTGCATTCCTTAAACCTCACTGATTATTTTATTTTCAAGTAATATGCTCTGAAAATCTGTGTTTAAAGAATTATTTCATAAAACTGAAACAATTCTGTTTTTTATCCTTTGGTATTTGAAATACTGTTTAAATCTTTTAACATTCTAATATGCAAATAGGCAAATATCACTTATGTTCTCTAAAGATATTCGCTCCTATGTTAAAGATTAATATGTGGGAGCAAAACTGGTTACCACCCAGTTTTTAACTTATTTTTTGCATTTGAAATTATGTATAAAATTTGGGTTTTGAAGTACTTTCCTAAGACTTGACATCTTTCTCATGTAAATAGACTAGCTGAAAGGTAACTAGAACTAAATTTGATCTTTAAAAACTCTAGCTTTCGATAAAAATTGATAATATAAGGCAGTTGAAAGTTGGGTCTTTTTACATGTCATGATACTTATTAATTGTGAATAGCCTCATCTCTTACAAAGTGCTGGGTAATAAAGAGAAATTAGACAATCTCAGCACTCTCTGCCCCCACATGTTGTACAGTTTATATGCAAATAAATTCTCAAAGGTCAGAAAAATGGTTATGATTTGAGAGAACTGGCAAAGTCCTATCTCAGTCCAGTTTTAACCTCTTTTGAAGTTGGCTTAAAAGCCTTCTCTTTGGGGGCTGGCCCAGTGGCACAGCAGTTAAGTTCACACATTCCGATTTGCCAGCCCGGGGTTTGGTGGTTTGGATCCTGGGTGCAGACATGGCCTCACTCAGCGAGCCATGCTGTGGCAGGCATCCCGCATATAAAGTAAAGGAAGATGGGCACGGATGTTAGCTCAGGGCCAGTCTTCCTCAGCAAAAAGAGGAGGACTGGCAGCAGATGTTAGCTCAGGGCTAATATTCCTCAAAAAAAAAAAAAAAAAAAAGAAGCCTTCTCTTAGGATCCTCTCTGCTCAGTGCCCCTGGGTGTCCTCAATGCCTAATTTGACTGCAAAATTCTTTTCCACTGGTTCTCCTTAAAGTGCCTGTGATGATGCTTTTTATACAATGACCACTCAGTAGAATTTATTGTTAGTTTCAGAAACATCTTTATTTAGGAACAAATCAAGGAAACAGATGTGAGGAATGTGAGGTTGCCTAATTGATGGTGCTTGAGGGGTTCCTCACGTGAGTCTTGGCATAGGAAAGTTTAAAGAGTAAAGCAGCTTTCATCAGATCAAAAGACAGGTGTGGGGTGAACGTAATTCTGAAGGAACAATAATGGAGACTTATAAAAACAAGAAGCCACTTGAATTGCATTGGAAGGTATTAGACATATCAATGGGTTAGAAAAAAATATAGTTTAATGTAAGTTCCTTCTAAACTCCCAAGGCAAAAAGTAATATGAACTTACATGGTAATTATAAGCCCACAAAACAACAATTCACAAGACAAGTGAGCAACTAAAATAGAAACAAAAGTAAGAAAAATTCAAGTTAAAGGAGAGAAGGAGAGAGATGGTTG